TCTTCAGTATCAGATCTTCCAAATATCCTTTCATCGCAATCCTGCTTGCTCCTCACGAAATCTCTTTGAGTCGTCCAATCAGTTACTGCCACGTCACTCTCACAAAGCTCTTCTGTCCACGTCGTCTTTGTGTGTCACACACCATCCAGAACTTGGATCTTACACTACATACAAGGAGATCATCAACATAGACGAGGATTCTTAACTCAACACCAACGCGACTGAACATGAACATAGAATAATCACCATAAGCTTGTTTGAATCCAAATTTCTTAAGTACCTCAGTTAACTTCTCAAACCAACACCAAGAAGCTTGTTTTAAACCATAGATATAGTTGTGCAACCTGCAGGCCTTATTGGGATCAGAATGACGAAGACCTTGCGGAGCTTCATATATACTTCTTCTTTAGGATCGCCATGGAAAAAAGCATTGTGCACGTCCATTTGGTGAACAAACCAACCCTTTCCAGCAATAACATGTAATAAACCATGAATAGTGGTCATTTTGCGACATGAGCAAAGGTTTCATCAAATCTTCTCCCTCAACTTGCTTATTTCTTAAAGCGACAAGTCGAGACTTGTATCTCTCGATTGTACTGCCAGCATTATACTAAATTTTGTATACCTACATATATATTCCCGATGGCTTTTCCAGGTTGCAAATCGCAAACATTAAAGGTCTTATTTAGCTCAAGCGCTTCCATCTCTCCTTGCATCAAATTTCTCATACTTCAAAAGCTACCACTTCTTAACTCTTTGGTCGATCACGGCCTGTCTGTTTTGTGTCGTGGTACAGCCAAGCGGGAAACCACCAAATGCTGCTCCAGGGTCCTCTCCCTTAGAGATAACAATAGATCGGCATAGAAAGCGAAAAGACGATAGGCTACTGAGAACGAACTGCACGTGGAGAAAGCTCTCAAAGAAAAGCATTTCTTGGAAAGTGCATCGATAAGAAGCCAACAGCTCCCTCAATTGATGCACAAACTCCTGATTATCCACTTCAAAACGTTTTTCATATTATCCCACAAATTTGAGCAGAGGAGATGAACGTTACGCTTGAACGAACTCGAGGCTCAATAGAAGTCTGAATCCATCCCACAATCATCTAGTTAATACTCAGCCACAATTCAAGATCTGGGCTATCTTTACTTGGTTTGGGCAAAGTCCCATCAATAATGCACTCTTCTTCTTTGCTCGTAAAAGTTTGTGATTTGACTGAGTCTAACAAAGTTTGTGATTTAAAGAAAAACTAGATTTTATCCTGCATCAAGAATATCTTTTTAATCAAAATTTGTAATGTAATTTATATTTACTTTATAGATATAATTTTTCTAATAAGTGACAAATTTTATTTTTGTGTTTAGATTTAATTTTTTTATTCTAGTATTATTATTACCACGATCATAAAACCATAATTCTAACCAGGTTGTTTTATTAATCGAAAAATGACAATTTTTATAAAAACATATTTCTAACTCGCTCATTCTTTTGATCCGAAAAAGACTATGATTTTAAAACCATGATTCTAACCCTTCTGTTGATATAACTATATATTATAAATATTTAGTAATTTTGAAATAATTTTTATTTTAATATTTTACATATTTTGATAATCTAACTCGCATAAAATCACAATTATATATAAAAAAAAACCTAACTTGGATCAAATCACCATATAATATTAATACTTATCAGTTTTCAATATGTAAAATTTTAGTTTGATTGAATATGATTAAAAAATACAATAAGGTATTCGTTAAACATATTTTTTATTCTGAAAATATTATATAAAATTTAAAAGTTAAATTAAATCTAACATATATTTAAGGAAGTCTAAAGTAATTTAAATTAATATCTATTTTTTAGAATTAAATTTGATTACAAAAATAGTTTGAATTTTAAATTTTAAATTTGGAAACAAATACTAAAAGTGCATTTGTTTTAATATAGAGAAATTTAGTGTCGTAGCAAGACGACAAGAGGTATTTAGGTGAGTGAAATCTCATTTTTTTATAGAGTGGAAAGTACCCAATACCCTCTCAGCTTTTTTCCACTCTAACACCTCATATGTCTTATAACGTATACGTTTTTACATTTTACTTTTTCTCTGACATCTTTCTTTTTCATCCAGCTTTACCTTTAATTCAAATTATTTTTCCACACCTTTATAGGTAAGCTTAGGTCTCTGAAATTTATTTTTGAATTTCAAAACACTTCTATCACATCCATATCCTCTCATCCCCTATTTTCTACGACTCTCTATCTCGTTTGCACGACGAGACTTTTTCCGTCACTATCAACCTGTCGTTTTTTACGGCGAGTCTCTATAACGTTATTGCTGGGTTTGAACCTCCAAACATGGTCGACAAATCTTTTGCACCGCCGTCTTTTTATTCCGCGGCGATTATTGAAAGGTACATGTTTATCTGTTGTTACTGATGGGCTTGCGGGCCCAAAGTTTGTTTTTAACAAGCCCATTGGTCCTCAAAAAGTTTTAAATTTATAAAACTCTAGTGTCTGCAAGTGCACAAATGTACGTTGTAGGACTTAGGCTGTCGATCCACAGGGAGGATGTCTAATCTGCGAGAAACAACAAACTCGGAAATAAGTAAAGTCATAAACTCATGGAATTTTTGGGATTTTTGGTTAAGAATCCTAAACTAAACCTAATATAATATTCACAAGAAATAAGATGCAATTCATATGAATTGTTAAAAGAATATCTCAAGCATATCGACTCAAACTATAGATTCTAAACTCATAGGTGGCGATTTAGACTTCTCCGGTTTACTCTAATCGATGTTTGGTGGCATTTCCAATTAGTTTTTGGGAGATTTATCTTCATCTGTTTCTGGGATCTGCATGGAACTAGAATAGACATGTGTATGATTAACCAACTCTCGCCATCTTAATCAACTAATCACTCAGATCTGAAAATTTACTCTCGCTCTCATGCCAGAACTAAGATCATGCATTATATATCGAATTCGTCTACTCACATCTTCTCTACAGGTAGCTCTCGACTCCTATAGCGACTATGTTCTTCTGAAGCTAGGTATGAATGATCTGATACAGCACTCTTGTGGCTCTGATCGATCCTAGGCTCAGAGAATAGGTCATGAATCTACTCTCATACAATATGAACAACTTAGAAGATATGAGATCTAGAATATGGTCTAGAAACTTAGAAATCTTAATCGAAATGTATGCCTATCGAAAACTCTTCAAACAACTTGACTCTCTAGGACAAATCTACATGATGCAATGAATGATAAAAGATATGAAAGAATGCAACAGATGAAACAAAAAAGTTAATTAAATAAAAAGGAGAAAGAAAAACGGATCAGGGGAAAAATTCCCATCTCCATCGCCTAACCCTAGAAAAATAAATTTTGGTGGCTCAAAATCTCATTATAGGAGCACACAACCGTTTAAGACTGCTAAAAAAATGTATTTATAGGTCCTAAGGTCTTCCAAGTCTCATTTAGGGCTTCTCTGAAGAGGAATGGCGAAATGTACTTTGATGTTGGACCTTGTGGCTCGTCATTAGGTCCACCGGGGGAGAAAGTCTTCCAGGACAGGTAAAATGCCACTTTCCAGCGGGTGAGAGCCTTCTGGGGCCAATGAGTTTGGTCAACTTGTCCTCCACGTATCTTTTGATTGCACCGTTGGATCTTTGTGATGTAAAATGCTATGGAAATTTGGTTGTCTCCTCTTTATTTTCTCCAAATTTGAGCTGGATCAGACGGTGAAAAAGTCTTCATTTGAGGCTGAACTTCTGACAGTCTCTGAGCTGAAAAAGTGGATTTCGTCCATTTTGCCATCATTTTCCCTAAGTTTCTTGAAAAGAGCCTTGAAACTACAAATACATGTAAATCATAATAAAAGTCATAAAACTGATTAAAACCATTGAAAAATCATTTGAAATCAATGGTGAAAATGGGTATAAATACGGTGATCAACTCCCCCAGACTTAAGACTTTGTTTGTCCTCAAATAAAACAAGATCAAATCTGGAAAAATATCATTCAATAGAAATGAGAGGGAACTCAAAAATATCAGCAACCATACTTCTAGACCTTAATTATGGACAATGCATCAATCAAATCAAGTCTAGAAAATCTCACCAAAATACAAACATAACTAATCCGTTAATCCATCATGCGAAAATCCACACACTTAGAACTAACTTCCAGTCATCTAGCTCTTAATATTCATTAAATGTTTCAGTGATTCTCATCAAAAAAATATTAAACAAAACATTCAAGGTTATATATCAAAAGGCTTTTAGTGGTAAGACTTGATGTGTTTAGAGTTACCTATATTGTCTTTTTCACCTTTTTTTTTCTTGTTGACTTCCCATACCTCACTTAATTGACTGCTTCTTGATGGTAGTTTTCTAATTTGTTCTCATTGAAGTAATATTGATGCAAATCACATTTTAATATTGATGCAAATGAGATGCTTTTAAACTTGTTTTTTTAATATGTTAGTATTTATGATGTAAAAACGATTTTTTTTAGTTCAAATAAATTTAATATTCATTAAAAAAATCACCCTTTAATATAATAGATTCAAAATAAATTTGTGATTTAAAACGTTGAAGTTATAATTTACTTAAATTTGCTGAATTTTGAAAGTTGAGGATTAAAATGTTATTTTTCCTGTTTTTTTAAAAATCATTTAACGTAAGCAATACTGAAAGGTGAGAAACCTTCACAAAGCGCACATACGCGCTTGCAATCTGGCTTCCACACTCCACCGTGGACTATTTTATCGTTCTACCTGTTTTACCCCTGAAGCAAAGACATTTACACGCATAATACGTAAGGGGTATATATGGTATTTACATAGAGGCCGACAACAAAAAGGAGATGACCGTTTGATAGATCCGCAAATCTCAGGCGTTTCAAAACATTTAATTAAATCTATTTCCAAACATTAATCACAATCTAAAAAAATTCAACCTTTTTTTTGTTTTTCACAGTTCCAACGCTTGAATCCGATTCCCATGCGATCGAATACGAATGTTTCCACTTGCATTTCTCTCCAAAAGTAAAATTCCAAAAACCCCACTAAGAAGAGAGTGCTCTGATTCTGTGGTTGCGTAGAAGAACCCTAAACCGAAGAAGAAGAAGAAGAAACAGAGAGGGTTTTTTTTCTAAAATGTTGATGGCAAATTGTGGGCCGGTGATGGAAAATGATACGATGGAATCTGAATCCGTGGCGTTAATGGCGGCGGCTATGGCTTCTTCGCCGGCGACTCCGAAGACGGTGGTGGTGAAGGAAGAGGAAGCTCATCATCCTTACGCGTTTCACGTTTCGGGACCTAGAAACGTAGCTTCTCCTAATTGGAGAGATCTCATCAATTCCAGTTGGTAAGATTGCTCTGTTTACAAAAAAAAATCAATGAAAAGTTTCTGTTTTTGGGTTTTTTTCTGTTGATTTTAAGACAGTTTTTGTTTTACTTGGGTTTCTATGTCTTTGAATCTCAAGTTTCAGAGACATTGCAGCAAAACCTGATTCTATTATCGGATCTGAACGGATCGCAAAACTTGAGTTGGTCTTAATCTGTTGTTTGCTTTAGTCATTTGTGTAAATTACAGATTTTGTTTCCTTTTTTTGGGAGAAATTTAGTTTGTTTCGATCGAGAAGACATAAGTTCTTAAGATTCACCATGTTTATAGCTGCAACTACTCTGCTTCTACCTCATGATATACTTAGCCGTAATTATGTCTAGTAATGTTTTGTGAGAAGTTTCTAAAAAAGAAATTCCAATTTTTAATCCTGCAAGTGTTTACTTTTGATGAATCTGTTTCAGTATGAAATGGTAATGTCTTAGCAAAAGTTTCAATCTTTTGGGAAAGTTTTAACCTTTAAGATTGGCCATGTTATAGCTGCACTACTCTGCTTCATGATCTAATTAGCCCTATTATGTCTTCTTAATTTCTTCCATGATTAAGAACCATTTTCAATCCATTTTTGCCTAGCATTGTGCTTCATTACCCTTAGTCTGAAGCTAATCATGTAATGTGAGAGGTTTCCAAAATTGAAATACCAGCTCTTTAACTCTGCAAGTATTTACTTTTGATGAAACTGTTTCCGTATGAAATGCTAATGTCTTAGCAAAAGTTTCAACCTTTTTGGGAAAGTTTTAACCTTTTGGTTCTTATTTCTCTGTATATATGTAGGAAGGACCCTAACTATAAGAGAACAGTAATGGCATGCTTTATCCAAGCAGCTTACTTGCTTGAACTCGACAGACAAGAGAACAGAAACGAGCAAAATGCTCTCGCTCCAAAATGGTGGATTCCTTTCAAATTCAAGCTATCGCAAACACTCATCGACGAGAGAGATGGATCCATATTCGGCGCCGTTCTTGAATGGGACAGAGCAGCTGCGATGGCAGATTTGGTCGTCATCAGACCAAGTGGGGCACCAAAAGCAGTACTCGCGCTACGAGGAACGATTCTAAAGAGTCTAACAATGAGACGTGACATCGAAGATGATCTCCGGTTCTTAGCTTGGGAGAGCCTTAAAGGTTCTGTGAGGTTTAACGTCGCTCTCGAGGCGCTGCAATCAGTAGCAAAGAGATATGGGAGCAGTAATGTTTGCGTTGTGGGTCATTCTTTAGGAGCTGGTTTTGCATTACAAGTAGGTAAAGCCTTGGCTAAAGAAGGGTTGTTTGTAGACGCCCATTTGTTCAATCCACCTTCTATATCTCTCGCTATGAGCTTAAGAAACATCGGAGAGAAAGCTGGTGTTGCTTGGAAACGTCTCATGTCAATGCTTCCTCCAAAAACCGAGCCTTTGATACCAAATGGTAATGAAGGAGAGATTGTTTCAGGGTTCAGGAACTGGGTACCGAGCTTCTACGGACAGACTCAGAAATCTTCTGTGGATTTGAGAAAATGGGTGCCTCATTTATACGTGAACGATAGTGACTATATCTGCTGCCACTACACTGACCAAGATGGAGTAACTGAGAAGAGAGAAGTGAACAATAAGGAGAACAATGGTCCTGTTGTGAACAGTGTTCCTCAAGCAGTAGCAAAGCTTTTCGTGATGTCGAAAGGGAAACAGAAGTTTCTTGAGGCGCACGGGTTAGAACAATGGTGGTCGGATAATCTTGAGCTTCAATCAGCTATTCATAGCAGCAGGTTGATCAGTCAGCAGCTCAAGTCACTATACAGTATCAAGTAAACATTGATATGGTTTCACCGGTTTTATTCAGCATAAGTCCAACCACATGTCCATCTCCATCGTTTAATAAAACACATTTGCTCTCTCTTTTATGATCTGATGTTAGAACATTTTTCCAGGAAATGTAACAACATAAATGTAAGAAAGCTTTTTTTTCACATCACTTGTTAACAAGTCGGAGCCTGAAATGCTTTATTACAGCAATATTGTTGAAGGTGTACCAACTAATAACCATTTAAAATGGTGACCAATGCTCGCTATTTTGCTAGCTTGTCTCCCAAATATTTGACAATCATATGTATAGTAGTAGATGATTTTTGTCAACAGCAAGAGAAGAAGAATGGCATGCTTGATCCAAGCAGCATACTTACTTGCTTGAACTCGACAGTCAAGAAAACAAAATATGAGCAAAACGCTCTCTTGATAATTAGGATCATCATCAAAGCTAAACTCTCTCTACGGATTTATACAATAAAATTTGTATATGATTTCATTAGGGAGTATATTTCTAAAATCAGAATCGTCTCAAAATATTTGATCTGGTAGTTTTTTATATTTATTTTAATTACAGTACTCAATATATATGCATATTTGTACTTTTCTAAAGAGCTTTTGTTTTTAAATCGGTGTCATGTTCGACTTGTTTTCCACTTACGCATGCTAAAACACGATTCAACCTAAGATATAATATAGGTTATGTACATTCCTAAGATAATACAGGGGAAAGGATCCCATGGAGAAAAAAAAAAATCCAATGGAGTCTATGGACTAATAATCTGAGTATAGACTGACAGAGGAAAACACTTACATGGTTGTTCATCCAACTTTTTATGTGTCCTTTTTAAGTCCAAAGGTCACTCAATCTTGATTTGTGGGGTCAAATAGACCAAAACTTTCCAATTATGTTACTAATTATTTTAATATTTATACAAAAATAAAAATATTTAAATATTTAAGTATCATTTGACACAATTTCTCTCTAGTCTCTATCCATGTTCAAAATATCTTTAGGCGTTAGTCAGGCGGTGGACGAACGCCTAGCGTTTAATAAAGTAATCAGAGATTAAATGGTGATTAATCGGCGATTATTTTTTGTTGTTATATACGAGTATGCAGTTTTATATATTATCTGCTAACATGAAACAATGTTTCAATGCGGCCCAGCAGCTTTAGTACGTTCATTTGCTGAGCAGGTAATAGATTCAATCTCTAGAGGATGCGTTTTTTAACCTTTTTGCTCGATTTTTATTGATAAATGATAATTACCATTTTACCCCCTCATCTTCAACTTCACAACTATGCTTTATAAAACTCTAATCCGCACCGCCACTGTAATTTCTTCGTCATTTACATCATTTTCATGCCTTTTATGTTATATAGCAAATTATGATAGATCTATCTAGTAACTATCGATTTCTTACTTAAATTAAAGAATAAAAACGATTTTTAATGATTCTGACTGATTAATCGCTGATTTCAACCAATTAATCGCTATAAAACGAACAGCCGCTTAACCCATCCGACTTGGACAAAATCGCCGCAGCTCTGATACGGTAAACTATAAGATGCGAAACAGAGGATAAAACAGAGGATTAGTGTTCGTAAAACAGTAATCATGTTCTCACCTGCGAAAGGATCTTTGAGGAAGAAGAGATCCCTTGGCGTTAATGAGCTAAGAACAAACCCAGAAAAGGAATAGAAAGAGAAAGTAACTTTTGATTTCTGATATCCTCACCAAAAAAGAGTACTGATAACACCATATTTGTACCCATTTTTACTAGTGTTTTTTATGCTATTTCAAAAGTTTTAATAGCTTCAACTGTTTTTATCATGATTTTTTTCTATCTTTGTAGTTTCAAGACTCTTTTCAAGTTACTTAGGCAAAAACAATGTAAATTGAAAAAAAAAATATACTTTTAGCCAATTTTGGACCGTCAGCACATCTGATGAAGATCTTCTCACCGTCTGATCAAGCTAAAGTTTGGACACAAAATAGAAGAGACAACCAGCTTTCTAATGCAATTGGATTGGATGCAATCCAACAGTTGGATAATAAGTTATACCCAATTTACTGAAGACATGTTCTGCAGTCTCGCAAAAGAAGCAAGAGAAGGAATGAAGTTTGGACATCGTAGCCAACCACCGCGGTCCAGGAGCTTGTGACCGCAGTATACACTCTCCTGGCCACGCCTCAGAGCCTTACACCCGCGGTGAACCCACATGTACCAGCCTTGGAGAGCCCAATTCTGCGACAAGCCTATTTTTGGCCCAATGGCCCGTTTTCATGCCCAGCTCATTCTCTCTTCAAAGAAAGCCCTAAGGACGACCAGAAAGACTTGGAGACCTAGAAATATGTATTTTAGAAGACCTAATTCGTGTGTGGTCAATTCCACTTGTTAGGTGATAACATCTGATTTTGATCACTTTTAAGGATCACTTTTAAGGATGACTTTCAAAATCTTATGCGAGTTTTTTCACTCAATTTTAAAGGGTTTATAAGTGTTTTCCATGTTTTGGAGTTTTAAAAGGATTTTCAGGAGACTTAGAGCTTTGGAGTGCATTTTGGAGCAAAAATACATTTTTGGATAAATTCAAGCCGTCTGAAGTTTGGCAACCAATGAAGACTTTCTCACTGTCTGATCATCTCCAAATTTGGGGACATTATAGAGGAGACAGCCAGCTTTCCAACACACTTAGAAACAAAGCAATCCAACGTTAGATCCCCAGATATCATCAATGCACTGAAGGCCAATCAACGCAAGTCCAGTCAAGGACAAAAGCATTCACCCGCGGCCAAGCTTGCTCCCACCGGGCTCAGGTCCTTTCAACCCCGTTGGACCTCAGTCCGAACCTCAGGAGCCCAACTAAGGCCCAAGACACTTGTTGCACCATAGATGGCTTAATACTTTCCGCCATCATCATCCTCATGAGGTTCAAACTCAACATGTTAGATCGCTCCCATCTCTCATATCGAGACTTTTTAGATTTGGAGCTATCTTCTGTAATGGCTAAGAGCTCCTCATCAGTTAATATGGCAGAGTCCAATGCCATAACACCCAGTATAAACCAGATCTGTTCGGACCATTCTCCATAATTAAGCCCATGAAACTTTAATACAGATTCAAAATCTGTAATAAAAACTTTAAAGTTTGAATTTAAGCAACCTTTGGGTAGTACTTAAATGCATATACTTTCATCAATGCTAAATTTAAACTTTTCAATTAATCAAATCATACGTAAATCAAATAAGTATGCTACCTTTGGGTATACATATTATTGACTATAGTAAGAAATGATTCGTATTACTAACTATATTCAATGATCTACCTTTGGATGATCTCCTAGAATATAGATAGTAAAATAATTGGTCAATTAAAACTTTAATGTCATTTGTAGCATCTCTTTAATCATAATCAATTATAAAATATTATTATTTTTTTAATGTATATATGTAATATAACAAGACCATTTTGGTGACTAACATGTTATATACAATATAAATATTAAAACTTTAATAAATAAAATATTATTTTTATATTGTGTTAGTATTTCCTAACACAAATTATCCTTTTATTCAAATGCACAGCATAAAATTTTAAATTACCTATGATTATGGATTCTGTTCACATTTATGAATCCACTCATGCAAATATTTTATCATCTTATATACGTGTTTTAAGTTACTACATAGAAAATTTTATTATGCAGAAAGTTTATTCTTTCTTAAATAACTGCATGTCTTCAGTTTAATGGTGTTTTCATAAATTATGATTTTATTATATAATAACATCTTTACGTAAAGCGACATGAACAAAAGACGGTTACATGCATATAACTTTTCATGCATAGCAGTATTATTGTTTATTCTCCAAGACTCCACCACCACTAAAATAACGTTTCGAGTATGCCTTACACATGCATGCAGTTTTGTTTAATTATGTATGAAAACTTCCAGAATTATGCCGATATGCATGCGATCATGAGAACAAAAAACTTTTCATACATAAACGATTACTTTATTAACGGCGTTATTACTGTTCTTCTACTTTTCAACTGTGATTTGATCCACAAAATAGAACATGTAGTAACCGTCAATAATAAACCCAGAATTTTTAAATGGTGCAGTAAAAGGTGTTCATGAACGTCTTTTCATTATTATATATGCAAGCCCATACATGCATATATAAATTCAGATTCATGCGACAATGAATCTTGATCCAGTAAACATAACAATTTATGGAACAAGTCTAACGTTCATGGTTGCATGATCAAAATTTGATTATATTTTGTTAATGAACACATATTTTTATTGGTGAATAAATTAAATCTAGTTTGGCTCTGATACCACATGTAAATTACTTTTATTCATGTAAATTACTTTTATGACTTTAATTATGAAATCTAATTCCTAAAATAATCTAGATTTAATTTAATTCAACCACAAATAATTACTTATAGAAAAAGAAAGACTAACTTTGATCCATGTTTGATGAGACTTGATATGGATTCTATTCACCAATTGATTTCTTTCTCCCTTTGACCTCTAAATTCTTTATGATCCCGTTTGATGGATAAGGAATCTTCACTTCCCTTATCAAATTGATTGATGGTTTTTCTGTCTTTAAGGAAACTTAATTGTTTCTCTTCTAAGTGAAGAGACACGTGACTGTTCCCACACACCATCGACTTTAACCACCAATATATATATATATATATACACACAGATAATTGAGTTGCTTTTCCAACCATCGTACTTTCGTATGCTCAGTGATGGATCTAGAAAAAAAATAGTTGGGAGCATAATTTAATAAATAAAAAAACAAATTTTAGTTAAGGGCATCTTTATATTTTTACCACTATATTTAAAATATTTTAGTTAAATTTATCTAAATTATTTAAAAAAATTAAAAAACAGTAGGGGGCACGTGACCCCGTCCGACGTTAGCTAGGTCCGCCCATATATATATGTTTATATATATATATATATGTATATAATTATAAAAAGAAATAACACTTATAAAATTTAACATGATAAAGGAGGAGGGTTATCAATACACCCGAATTCTAATGTCTTTAATCGAAACCGATCCATCACAATATCTTCTTTTATATTAGAATTCTAAACTTTAATATAAACTTGATCTTTACAATCAAACCA